CTGCTCCGACTCCTCCTCCTCGCCGCCGGGATTGAGGCCCACCCGGCGGGGCATCTGATCCAACAAGGCCTACTAGCCAACCAGAAGACAATTTTAGATCAAACGACGAGGACGGGGGCGGAGGAGGTGTTAACGATGGGGTCCACACCAGGCGTTATCACTGCGTGATGAAAGCATGCGTTCTGGGCTATGCACTGAGCCGCGTCTCCTGATTGTAGCACGTGCTAGCGGGGGTCCATATCAACTTGTCAGGGGGATGTCAAACCACTAGAACTTCAACAGCTACCACTGCTGACGCAATTATCCGTGTGCTCGGGCGCGGTTACCTTGTGCAATCGCCTTAGTAACATCTGCTAATCCGTGCTCGGCCGTTAAAAGCCACCCTCTGCTTCAAGGTCAACCGCAATTGAACATTCTAATACCTCTAGTCGACACACTGACCCCTACCCCGATCCGAATCGACGACCCCGCTACCCCGTAACTACTATATCCCCCAGTTGTCTGCTCGTCGTTGTGTCCCTGTCTCGCCAACCAATCAGTTACGACTATCTCATGCGCTACAACGGGCTGATGTCACCAACTTTACAATATATGAGTACAGCTCAATTGTCCGAAGTGATTTTTCCTTTTCAGGTTATATTATATCAGGCTCACTTTGTGAGTCACAAGCAATCGATTTTCTGCTTCTTACAGTATGAACTGGCAAAATAATTGCCACTCACACATTACGTTTTCGGGTTTAGACTGAGAGAGATACACTCTATTTTTAAAATATAATTCCAAAAATTTCTGCAAAAACGTACTACAATGTTCTCCATTCACTATGAATAAGATATGGCTAAAAAACCACACAATACCGAAAATCACAAACAATGCGTACGGGCCAACAACTGCCATTGTTGACGTTTAAGAGAAATGTCCTTGAATATTTCGTCAAATTGAACTTCCTTCAAATGAACGCTAGCGTCATGCGCTGGTGACCTCATTGTTGTAGTTTAAATAAACAATGAGGTGTATAAAGCGCTTCATAATAGGCATCCGGAGCCAACCAATGTACATATTAAAAATTTACCCGCGGATGAAGGATATGAAAATGTCGGCTCTATTTCAAAAGCCCGCGCTGTCCTGGCTGCCGAGAGCAGCTAATAAAATAACAATGAAATGCGTTTCCGGTAAGTATATTGCCTCTAGTTACACTATTCTCCATACACTGGACCTGTAAACGTTAGGTAAGTTCAAGTGGCGTAATGGTGAGCACAATGGTAATCTTTGGAAATTACTATTTGAATGTTATTCAGCAGTACCTTATTAGTTCAGCTACGAAAATCAACGTAATAAATGCGAAATCAATCGTAATAAATGCGCATTCCCCACAAGCAGAGATATTAAAAAGCCAATTCTCCGAGCGATTGGTTAAAACATTGATGTACGAAACTCGAATTAAAACGCGCTATACTTGAAGTCATGGTACCGCAAGATCAAAAACTCTCATACGACGGGATAACTCAGATACTGCTACTATCATTTAGAGGACTTAAACACTTGTATGGTGAAACAGGGTTCTGACTAGGAGCCAGCATAGTCCTTTCATGCACATTTGCCCGACCATCTGACTTCTTTTTACACGCATTGAAAGATACTTGAGTCGATCATCAAAGAAGCCGAAGGTTTTACTTCAGAAGAAGCAGATGTGATCACTAGGCCATTTATTTTATGCGCCCGGCGTTTCTAAATTCGTCGCGGATCCATCACCAGAGACAATAGCAGAAACAGGTAGTTCGTACACAGGGAGTTACAGTAGTTGTAGGATACAGTCGCTATACTACTGTTTCCCGCTATTGAGGGTTGTTGTCCACTTGTGCGCTCATTGTCGGCGTGCGGGCCGTGACCTGCTGAACTTTAATCAACCGTGCTAGATTTGGGCCTGATGATTGCTCGGCCACGCCCCCCCCTGATGCAGGCATTCAACTACGCGTTCGCCGTTGCGTTCCCTAAGTGGCGAATTGCTTTGTCCAAACTGAGCATCAGCACCAAATATGGGTTGGACAGGTAGTCGCACTTGTTTATAGGCTGGAGACCCATGAATCATGACTCAAGTAACTCGCGACTCACGATTGTCACCTCTCGCGAGAATTTCTGCCTCATCAACTTTGAATGTGTGGCCGGGTCTCGTCGAACAAGCCACAAATTGAGAATTGGCATAATTTCTTCATACTGCTGCCGCATGCTGGACAGTTTGCGTCTTGAGGATTTTTGCAGTTTCTTCGACGAAGGTGCTTTGTCCCTAGCTGCACCAGTTCCGATAGAAGACTTTAGATGTTTCTTGTTAGGGTAATGGAACTTTTGGTTTCATCA